ACACTAATGGCGCATCAGAAGGTGGTGCGCCATTAGTATATACTAATGGCGCACCACTTGTCTGGTGCGCCATTAGTGTCATTTCCATCTATAGCCCTTTTCCTAGTAGTGAAACGACATCCCTATCAGTTTCCCTCTGAGGGTTTCGTGGGCGCCAGCTCAGGCATTTCTTCAACGGAGCGTTGTTAAACTCAGGAAGGCCGATCCGTACAAGGTCCGGCAGGGGGACGTCATCCATATAAAACCATTCCGAAGGCCAGTCCTCAAAACGCCTTCTTTGGGGTACCGGATAGATATCTGGTCCCGGCGATGCGCCATAGTTCGGCTCCGCCCACTTGATAAATTGACCCCTCCTGAGAGCGGGGCACAAGGCAGAACAACCTCTTCCATAGCGCGAAATGGGCCTCGATGCCCAAAAACAGCTCGTAGAGGGCCATGAAGCGCGCAACGAGCAGAATGGAGGCAGGCGTGAGGTTGTGTAGCTGGAGGCCGTAAAACTCCAGTAACCCTTGGAGAAACGGATGAATTGGAAGGTTGTGTTCAAGGTGTCACCACATGGTAAGCTATCGGACCCGAACGATGATGATTACTACAACATAAACCCCATGACATACGAGGGAGTGTTCTTTCAAGAGCAACATGATGACGTGGTCCGAAACAAGGACGATGATGACTTGGGTTATGTTGACCTGGACCCAAACGACGATGACACACGGACTGATGGTGAGGCAGTTGTGAATCAAAGAGACATAATAATGCTTGAAAAGCTAAATGAAGATGCTGACGATGAGGAAGAGCCTCCACCTTCGTCAGACAACAAAGAAGATATGTGTGATAGTGATGATGATACCGGTCGACAAATAGATTACAATAGTGATGATTCATATGGGTTCTAGAAAATGTAAGTTCTTTTCATGATGATTGAGGTAGATTACAGTACTTTGCTTAATGTGCTCTTCTGTTATTAATGTTCTTTTCTATATGCATAATGTGCTCTTCTGTTATTAATGTTCTTTTCTGTATGCTTCTTTAGTTGATATCCTTAGTAATTGTTTATTCTCTTCTCAATGCAGGTTTGCTAATCATGGGCAAGTCCAGCGGCGCCGGTTTCCTCAGCAAATGCAAAGGACTTACTCGGAGTGGACGAGCCCACAAGGTTCCCCCTGACTACCCGAGGATGACACCTCACGGGGAGGTCGAGGGGTCGGGGAGGAGACCCTATAGGAGGATGTGGGGGAGAGTCCCTAGAGGAGGCGGAGGTGGGGGGAGAGGCACCCGGGTCAAAAAAACTCTAGGCTGTGTCGAAAATAGGGGGGTCTTCTTCGATGCCCTCCTATACTAAGCCACCTTCTGAGTCTGAGGAGGAGTATGTTCCTAATGGTGAGGAGGAGGAGGGCGAGGAGGAGGAGGCCGAAGAGGAGGAGTGCGAGGAGGAGGGTGAGGAGGGTGAGGAGGAGGAGGGCGAGGAGGGTGTGGAGTGGACATTGACCCCGAGTTGTGGGGTGACTTGCCGTCAGGTGCTCCGAAGGGGTGGTTGCATGGTATTGCTAGAGTACCTACACTACCTTCTATCGAGGCGCACAAGTGGCTCACTGAACTAGCGGGGACAGAATAAGTGCCTCACAATCATATTTTCAACACATGACCACATTTTCTTATTACACATGCCAAATCTTTGATTCTTGGATCCTTCACGGAAAGGGTCGTAAACCGAATGGCCTTATCACTACCCTGTTGAAGGAGTATTGTCCAGGCCTATTCTGCCTGCAGCCAGACAAGGACCCGGATTTGTGGGTTTTGGCCACGAGCTGGGCCCACAACGAGGCTTCTAGCCACACGGAGTACGGGATGGTCGCTAAGGCCGTGATCACCAAATTTTGGGTAAGTTTTCTCTTGTCTTCAGTTTCGTTCATTGTTTATCATTGAATCACTCGACTCACTCAACTAATGCCTTGTTTTCTTCTGGTTTTATGCATGATTGTAGGAACTCTATAAAGTTCTTGACAAGCACAAGGCCAGAGCCGACGTGGTCTTGCTGGCGATAGCGAATAAGAAAGCTCGTCAGTTGAAGTACGAGGTGCGCTGGGTTGCCGCCTCGCACTACTACCACACCTACCTTCAACAAAAGATGAGCAAAACTGAAGCGCAGAAGCAACGACTTACCTTCAACAAGGAGCAGTTCATGAGGGTAACTATGACTGACTTTTCATTCCAACATATAAGCAGTCAACTTAGTTGTTTCGTGCTCACATGACATGCTTCCATTTTTTAGGTTATTCCTCCTTGGTGCTATGGAAAGATTGACGGATGGGTGAGTTTGGTGGATAGGTGGCTCGATGAAGATGCAGAGTTTGCTGCCAAGAGCAGCAAGGCCCGGGCTAACCATGGAAAAGACGGGACACATGGCCAAGGAAACAGGAACCACTGGGGCTTCAAGGCCATGAAGGTATATGTATATGCATGATGCATTTTTGTTCTTGTTTTTACCATTATGTTCTTATGTCTGGCTAACTTATGTTTGACGTTGGAGGAGGACAAGTTGAAGAGGCCGCTCTCAGACATGGAGTCGTGGAAGATGCCCGTGAGCGGAGTGATCGCAAGGCCAGCAAGAGCGAGTACTACGGCAAGACCGAGCAGCACCTATAGTCTTACATTCAACACTTTGAGAGGTTGCATCTGGTTGGTACGGATGTTCTTCGCGCCACCTAGTCTCAGATCGACGACATGGCGGTGGTGGCCATCCAGGGGAAGCCCCATGGCCGCTACCCATGTTTAGATGGCTTGATCACTCCTTCGGTCTCATACACACGGCTTCGGGCTACCAACCCGAGCCCGTTAGAGCGTACGGGGCATTCGCAGCCGCCCTTAGCCCGCCATCATGTTGTAAGTACTTCCCCCTTATCTTCTTTCTCTTTAACTTTCTCAGTTTATTTTTAGCACTGCCCACTTAGAAACAACCTAAATTTTGTAGGCATATAAGGCCTTTGTCGAGCATAGGAATCTTGAGGTGCGGGAGTACTTGCAACGAGTGAAGGCAAACGATGATTACAACCGTCAAGTGATGACGGTTAGTTTTGCCCTCTTAAAACCAAGCTAAAATTCGCACTTTCATTCCTTCTGACCTTCTAGTTTGTTTGTTTAACTAACATCCAGGCTATGTTGGCATCTTCGACTAACCGCACGGATCCACCACAAATTGGACCCCCACCACCACCTACGGGAGAACCCCCACATGTGCCCATGTTTTATGAATGGGTGGCACTAGGCAGCGACACTCCGGTTAGTACATTTTCCTAACTACTGACAAACTAGCTCTCGTTCATTCAACACTATCATATCATATCTCTTCTCAAACATGTAGGGGACCGGTAGCTCGACTCCTGCTTCGTTGACCCCAGTCACTCTAATCTGGCAAAGTGGTCCTAGACATGGCGGTGGCGGTCTTGGCGGTGCTGGTTTTGGCGGTGCTGGTCTTGGCGGTGGCGGTCTTGCAGTGCTGGTTTTGGCGGTGGTGGTTTTGGTGGCGGTGGTCTTGCCTGAGGTCGAAGATGATACCAGTGCATGTGGCCGTCGTGCCATACTTATCATGTTCCTACTTAGTTTCTTTAGATGACGATGATGATGTTCCATGTCTTGCAATACTTATGTTCTTGAAGTTGCGACGATGATGACCTTTAGGTGATGAACTTGACTATATTTAGATGATGATGATGACCTTGAGTATCTTTAGATGATGATCTGTCATATTTCTGTGTATATATGCATAATCTCATATTTTGTGTCTTTAAAATGTTGTCAAATTGAAGAAAAAGAGAAAACAGGAAATACAAAAAAAACAGAACAGAATTATGCCGACGGCTTAGCGTCGGCATAGCTACGCCCAGGTGGAACCAGCTGCTGACACGTGGCAAGCTATGCCGACGGGTAAGTCGTCGGCATAGTTTTTGAACTATGCCGACGGCTTAGCTGTCTGCATAGCCCTGCACCCGTGGACACGCAGTGATCGACACATGTCCATGTAAGCCGATGGCCCCCGTCGGCATAGATTTTGTCCAGGGGCAATCTGGTGCTGCCACGTGGCATAGGTAAGCCGACAGCTAGGCCGTCGGCTTAGCTGTGGGCCTATGCCGACGGCTTGGTCGTCGGCTTGCCTGCGCCACGTGGCAGCTCGTGGTTCGGCTAGCGCGGTGAAGGCGCCGTCAACGGCCGTCTCGTGCAAAACTACGTCGACGGCTATTCTACGTCGACGGCCGTATGAAGGTCGTCGTCCTAGGTCCCTATGCCGACGGCATATCTATGCCAACAGTCTTACAAGAGTACGCTGGCGTAATCTACACCGACAGCAGCCATCGGCTTGGATCTACGCCTACAGAAAGAGCCTATGCCGACGGCCCGTGGCCGTCGGCATAGGCCGTGGATCCGGTAGTGCATGGTATATACATTACGGAGTATAAAACATCAGTAGACTGAAATTTTGTCCATATACGTAACCAGATTGAAACATGAAAATCATCATCTATGGATAAATTTCATAATAATTGGATACACTAGTTTGACTCGTTACATAACTTATCAGGAAGTCCATCGAAAATCAGTAGTCTTGTTGTCAGGAATTTCCATCTCTCTGAACTTCATCATTCTGGCCACCAGCCCTCAACTACATCTGAATCTGGCGCAAACATCGCGTGGGTGATTCCAACCACACTAGGGTTCTGACTGCTGAGCACCGAGAACATCGTCGCAAGACGGAGACCATAGTTCATGATAAAGTGAACCAGACCACGGGGAAAGATGAAAACATCCCCCTCACATAATCTCTTCTGAAACAGCTTACCGGTGGTGTCAAAGAAAGCGGCCAGCATGCTGCCACTGGGGACCAACATCATCTCGGACGCCCTTGGGTGAGAGTGGGGAAGCACTACATCATAGGGATCGATGTCGGTCCGTGCCATCGACAGGCCAACGGTGTTGAGGCCAGGGAACTCAGCAGCGGTGATGATGTTCGCCGATGACCGGACGGCATGGTTGAGAAGCAAAGTCTTCAAATCAGAAGCTAGTATGGTGCTAGGGTGCTTGTAGAGGAAACCGTTCATGAACAGCTTCCTTTCACCCTAGGCACCATTGGGCACACATTTCGAAGAGGTGGACCGTCTGACAGGCTTGGTAGTGTATAGAGGCCAAGGAGGAGGACGTAGTAAAACAGGACAGTGAAGAGCTTCATCTCCTGGACGTAGAGATGAAGTAGAAAACCATGGATTTAAATAAAGTGATGAGAAAGGAGTGCAACCAAAGCCAAATTTGTGCAACCTGTATCAGATTTCTTGGAGTTCACTACAGAACTTGCTTCGGATTGTGGCCAAAGTAACAATCTCAGAATTGTGGCCACTTGGCAAGTCTGAAGTAATGCATGCATTGTATATGGTGCTTGATTCTCAACTCAAGCAGCATTCCCGTGGTAATGGCGATGGTATCTGAGGAGACGTTCATCGCCTACATTATATACTGGTACACTACCGGACTCGCGGTCTATGCCTACGGCCAAGGGCCGTCGGCATAGGCCCCCAAGCCGTCGGCATAGGTCTATGCCTACGGCTGCCGTCGGCATAGACCCGTCGGCGTAGATACCGTCAGCGTTGTCTTGTCAGACCGTCGGCATAGTAAAGCCGTCGGCATAGGGGCCTATGCCGACGGCCTGGCGTCAGCCGTCGGCATAGTATAGCCGTCGGCAGTCTTTTTCGTCTGACGGCAACGGACGGCGCCGTCAAAAACGGGGACGAATCATGCAAGGCCACGTGGCAGGGCTATGCCTACGGCAAAGCCGTAGGCATAGCCCTGCCACGTGTCTTCTTCTGGTTATTCCTGGCAGCAGAGGTATGCCTACGGCTTTGCCGTCGGCATAGATTTTCACCTATGCCTACGGCAAAGCCGTCGGCATAGATCAGCCACGTGGCGAGCCCTGGTGACTCCTGGGCTTATATATGCCGACGGCTTTGCCGTCGGCATAGTTTTTTTTTCCCTGTTTTTTCTCTTTTCCAATTCATTTGACAGCATTTCAAAACAGAACAATATGAAATTATGCAGAAATATGACAGTTCATCATCTAAACATACTCAAGTTCACCATCATCATCTAAAGATCATCACCGACTCAAGTTCATGAACATAAAAGTTGTGCAAGACATGAAACATCATAAAAGTAGGAATATGAAAGGCATGGCACGACGGCCACATGCACGGAATCATCAAGCAAGACCACCTCCGCCAAAACCACCACCTCCGCCAAAACCACCACCTCCACCAAAACCACCACCTCCGCCAAAACCACCACCTCCACCAAAACCACCACCTCCGCCAAAACCACCACCTCCACCAAAACCACCACCACTCTGCCAGATCGGAGTGACTGGGGTCGACGGAGCAGGAGTCGACCCACCGGTCCCCTACATGTTTCAGAAAAGATTCTAACAGTAAATATGATATGATAGTGTTGAATGAACGAGAACTAGTTTGTCAGTAGTTAGGCAAATGTACTAACCGGACCATCACTGCCTAGTGCCACCCATTCATCGAACGTGGGCACGTGTGGGGGTTCTCCCGCAGGTGGTGGTGGGGGTCCCATTTGTGGTGGACCCGTGCCGTTACTCCAAGCCGCCAACATAGCCTGAATGTTAGTTAAACAAGCAAACTAGAAGATTAGAAGGAATGAAAGTGCAAAATTTTAGCTTGGTTTTAAGAGGGCAGAACTAACCGTCATCATCTGACGGTTGTAATCATCGTTTGCCTTCACTCGTTTCAAGTACTCCCGCACCTCGAGATTCCTATGCTCGACAAACTCCTTATATGCCTACATAATTTAGATTGTTTCTAAGTGAGCAATGCTGAAAATAAACTGAGAATGCTAGATAAAAAAGATAAAGAGGAAGTACTTACAGCATGCTGGCGGGCTAAAGGAGTCTGTGAACGCCCCGTACTCTCTAAGCGACAGGAACATGGTCTTGCGTTGCATTATGGCGCCGGGAGGGAGATTGAGCGGAATAACAAATATGGGCCAGCAGCTGTATGGATTAGACGACATACCATATGGATTGAACCCATCACCTGTTATAGCAATTCTGACATTCCCAGCCTCGGCTGCTTCCTCCGGGTACTTTATATCGAATGACTTCCATGCTTCACCTTCTGATGTATGTACCATTTTTTTTTGGATTGTACCTTTTCCCTTCCTTGTGCCACTTCATCATTTTGGCAGACTCCTCGGTGATGAAAAGGCGCTGCAGTCTTTTTATAAAATCAAGATACCGAAGAACCTTCACAGGGATTTTTAGCTGCCGCTTCTGACCATGCTTATCGACCACCTCAATATACCGAGAGGAACCGCACTTCCTACAGTAGTTGTCATCCGCATACTCATGTCTAAACAAAAGGCAATTCTTTGGACAAACATGTATTTTCTCATAGTCCATGGAGAGCGCCTTCATGATTTTCTTCGTACCGTACATGGTTTTCGGCAGTTCATGGCCCTCGGGCAGGCTGTTAGCCCATACTCCTAGAAATGCTTCGAAGCAACCTCGGCTATAGCCGTACTCAGCCTTCACTGCCATCAGTTGCGAGATGGCATCCAGCACAGACAGCTTGGCACCCTCATAGAGAGGTTTCTTTGACGAGGCCAAGATTTCCAGGAAGGCCTTTGCGGTTTCCTCCGGCTCCTCCGGTTCATTCGCTGAATGTGACAGAGGTGTCGGTTGTGCAGCAAAGACATCATCTAGCATGTCTCTAACCCCATCGTCCTCATAACCAGCGATGCGTTGTCGTATCACATCCTCTCTACCACGGTCCCGCTGGGCAAAGTTTATCGGCATATTAAAGTTGGGCATAAATCCATCCGTGCGAAGGTGCTTAGTCATCTCACTCTTATCTCTGCGGATACGTCTCTTACATCTGGCACACGGGCATTCTGGCACCATCCTCATTGGACTACGGAATATCTCTTTCAAAAACACATCAGTTTTCTCGACCCACTCTGTTGTTACTTGATTCCGATGGAAAAACCCACTATACGTCCACTGATTATCTGCCATTTCTGCTTTATTGGAAGCCACACAACAAAATTAAGGATTCATTTTAATTACCAACATCAATATTTTATTTTTTACAAGGTTGACGAGTAATCCACCTACATCTCTAATAGGTAAAGATGGGTCCTAATCCCACCCGAGAATGTGTAGATTGAGTACGGTCCATGCTCTACCCCATTCCGAGACAAAATTTCGGCAGCACGTCCCCGCTGTTCTCCAAATACATGTCTCGGCAAAATGCCGAGAGAATGTGCATCCGGAGAACAACAGGGAGGCGCCGCCGAAATCCTGTCTCGGAACGGGGTAGAGCATGAACAACGTACCCAATCTACACATCCTCGGGCTGTCCGTGGAAAGCGCTGGACAATCCGAAAGAGCTGTGGTGATAAATATGCAATTGAATGCATATTTATCGATGCAACCCTTTCGGACGGGAGACCTAGGTTACGCGACTTGATGTGAAAATTCAATCTAGTGACATGGAAAAAAAAGTGGACGAGGTCATGGAATTGTTGCTCACCCTCCGATGTAGTCGATCAAAGGAGAGGGACGATCATGGACCAACACCTCCAACGTCGATGATCACTCCGCGAAGATGGAACACCACAAATCCTGTTAATTACACCGAGTGAAAAAAATTAGGTCATCATATCACATTAACCATTTGGCACAACATTATGAATCGACATGAAACAACATGTCAAATTGCAAAAAAAATCTTTATTAAGTATTTTAGAAACCATGTGCCTTGAATTGCTTCCATCTATCACTAACATGACCAAACACAAAACTTACTAATATCCATCAATTCATCCATATTTCAAACTAAGTGTTTACAAAATGCAAAACTTGACCAATATCCATCAATCTATACATGCACATATTCAAAAACTTGACCAATATCATCTATCCATATTTTAAACTAAGCTTCCAAATTCACAAACTTGACCAATATATCCATTAATGCATCCATCTATCACAAACTTCACCATCAATCTGTACATGCATATATCCATTCATCACATATATATCCATCTATGCAAAAAAAACAGTAACAAAATGCAAAAAATTGAAAAAAAAGCTCACCTTGGCCGCCGGTGCAGCGGGCAGCAGGGAGGCCGGGGGGCAGCTGCCGAGGAAGGGTGGACAGGGCCGTCCGGGGCATAGCAGGGCGTCGGCGAAGGGGCACCTCTTAGCTCCTGCGCCCCCTAGCACGGGGTCGGGGCAGGACACAGGGAGGGCGCGGGGTCGGGGGTGGTGGACGGTGC